CATCATGTAAAAGGGTCTATACTCCGTATTCAATGGCATTGTCAACCATATAGCAATGAAAAATCAGTTAATCAACTTTGGCTGACAATGATATATCTTGAAGTATATATATATATATATACTTGTAAAAAGAAAAAAGAAGTATATATATTTATTTGGAATAGAATAGTGATGCTTAATTAGTTAGCTGCTTTAATTTATAAACTATTAATGCTTGAGGCACACCTAATACGTATGCAATTAACAAAAAATATATTTAAAATATTTGATTTGTTTTTTGTTGTAAAATAGTAGTTTAAAGGAGTTAAACTATTTTTGTATTATAGTGAAGTTGTAGCTTTTTGTTAGAAAAATGATAGTTAATTTTAGTGGATGTGGAGTGGTTGTTTGGAAATGAGCAGTTGAAATGATATAATTATATATAAAAATAAAAATAAATTAGGTAATATATTAAATGACTCAATTTGTTTATATAGTAAGGTATTTTTTGGTGTAAATTAAGATATACATATATATATATTTATGTATTTCTTGTTAAAATACTAACTGAAACCTCATTTCAACCCCTAAAGAATTTTTGTACAGTCAAATCCTGCAGAGGTAAAATATGGTACTTTCTTCACCTTACCAAATGCAATTAGTTTCTCCTTTGACGTCTAAGCAGAACTCCACCAACCATTTCAAGTTTGTAATTTCCAAAGTTTTCAGGTCTCCAAAAACTTTAAAAAGTTCAGTAACAATAGAAATTATTGAGCTCGAAAGTGTGTCATGCATTTCAATAAAACGTAAATGCATTTGTTCACAGCGTAAATCAATTTGAATACAATATAAATTTAGTAATCTTTTTTGTACACTCCACAGGCACACATAGTATTAAAAACAATGAATATTTTGTAATTTGAGCCATACATTTTTTTTTTCTTGAGCGATCAAAATCGTGAACCTTTCAAAAACCATTATTGTTACTGCAATCGTTCCTGTCTAAAATTCATATTTATTATAGCAACTAGAATTTTACACATGCCTTAGCGCAGTTTTTTTTTATTTATTGTGAATTTATACAAATATGAATAATTTAAATATAAAAATTAACAACTGTTTCAAATTTTCAACCAAAATTGAAGATGATGACATGGCAAATTGATTACAGAAATAACCAACTAAAAGCAGACCATCATTCATTTTCTTAGTTAGCCCCAAATCATCAAAGATGATGAGAGCAATTAAGGTGTAATTATGACACCAAATACTCCGAAAGAAAGGCAAATCAGTCAAAAACCTGCTGAGGTTACCATTATACTGCATATCATTGTCCTGTGAGTGGGATAGAATATTAATTGTCCCTTTTAATTATGTTTCTTGATCACCACAACGCAGACATGATCATTTTCTTACTTAATTAACCTTTTTAGACTGCATATGAGTTTACCATCTTGTTGAAGTTTCTCAAATAAAAAGAAACTTGTCCGAGTAGTTTGCACCTCCTACAAAGGAACGTGCTGATATCCTTCTAAAGTTAGTATTATTAGGGGTAAAGGTAGGACACACAATAATATGATTACAACTTTGGTAACTTAGCATTATTTAACACCAACATTGATAAGAGACCTATGAAGCCTTAAGATTAAGAATTTGATGATGCTTTTACTTTTCAATACGTTATTGGGTTTTTCTATCTGAATCCTTAGGACACTCCTTAATATATCTAGTATCACCTAATCTATCGTGCATATACACATACTAATAATTATTATCCTCTCTTATATTTATATACTTTTTCTATTTAATTTTACTTACCCTGCATTGTATTTATCAACTTTTCCTACTTAATCTAACTTATATTTTTAAAAATATAACACCTAAAATATATATTAACTAACGAATGCCCTATGGGCACTCGTCAAACAAACCATACATTATTTAGTATGTGATAAACTCATTAATGGGGAAAGAAAACTACACAGCCGCCCAAGGTTCCAAGAGTTGTGTTCTCTCCATTAAAAGTCTGCAACCATAAAGAAACTAGAAGGGTTCTGGTTGTTGCTTGCTCATTTTGGATTGGGTGGTTAGTCATTGACTTGCACCAGGCAAATGAAGAATGGGTTTTGCCCTTTCTCCATTTTTGAAGAATTTAATTTCTTCAATCTCCCCTAATGATGGCATATTAATTTGCTTATCCTTCACCTGAATCCAAGTTTGGTACGGACTTAAAAAATTCAAGATTCTCCAACTAAAATACTTCATCTGGCCCTGATGCAGGATCCCACTTTTTCTTTTCTCTTGATATAGGATAACTTGATGAGAAGTCACTTAATATTTTGAAGTCCACGATCTTGGGCTTTTGGTCATGTCAACAATTGAGACTGTATATATCACTACTAAAGAAGAGATTAACAGTAATTAGCATTTTCTCAACAAAGCTGAAAATGTAATTAGGCTGAAAACAATCCAAAAATCCAAGAGTAGATTTTGAACGTAAAAAAAATCCAAGGGCAGCTTGGACCTGGGTACCGCCGCAGATCAGAATCTGCGAGCATTATTTTTACTAATATATACTTGATTAGTACGTCTAAAATATACTTGATTTATCATATGAATGCACATATTCATATTCATTGTGCTCCTTATAGTTAAATGCTTGTACAAAAATTACTTATTTGCATCACAAACATATTTTTCAATATACTTTTTCTTTTATCTTCTGAACCACTTTTTTATCTAACATAGATCACATCTCAAAAAGTAATACACAATTATTTCAAATAAACTTCTATCCAAACGCAATCTTGCAGGATATTAACACATGAGAACTTCTTTTGAGAGCGTTCGTAGAACACCTGTTAGCTAAACCCATATAGCAATTGTTAAGATGTTTTAACAACTTTCAAATGGTCGTTAGCGTTAAGCATAGTGTAGAAGATTTATACGTGCTAGGTCCTTTTTTAAAATTTTTAAATTTAGTCCCTGTCAAAATATTGACTTAATTAATTCAATGACCAATGTTTGAGCAATCAATTCCTTTTCCATCGGGATTAAATGCAAGCCAAGGTCCATGTTTCATGCTTGTCAAGCTCATGCTCCTGCACGTGTACGAAAGTGAGAGGGAATAAAATATGATGACCCCTCAATCTATGCCGTCTTGATTGTCAGGCGAGATCACATTTGAAAGATTTTGCGTATTTGAACACTTCTCTTTAAGAAATAGACAAAATTTGGCCATATTTAGCTTCTTCTTTTTTTTTTCCCATATTTTGTCCCTCTTTTCTGGGTTGGGATGCCTATATATCTCTTAGTAAAATTATTAAAGCACAGGCATAGTATCTTTTATCCGGAAATTACTAATCATGGAATCTCAATATGATCTTTGTAGAACTAGTTACACTCCCCCCCCCCCCTTTATTTTTTATAAATTGAATTTATTTTTTTTTATTTTTTTGGGTGTCAATCAGGGTCCAAAATGATAAGGGATGGACCAAAATTCATCTTTCATTGCAGATTAAGGAGTTATTATAAAATCCAGTATAAATGTGTCATGTCTAGCCTATCTCATTTTCTATTCTTGCTCATGTCTTGTAAATCTCTCATTTTCTATTCTTGCTTATGTCTTGTAAATCTTCGTTGACCTTCATATGACTCTGTGTTATCTCCTATAATAGACCCTAAAACAATCATCGAATTATATTCCTTCCATCTCAATTATTTTGTCATGCATCGAGAATGCAACTTTTAAAAATAGCAATTTTATTGTGATGTTTGTACTTCTCCTTTCAATCTTAACCTCACAAATTCAAATTTCGAATTTAAATAATAATATGCATATAAGTAAAGGAATGGACTATACCGGAAAAAGAGACAAAAAATGGTTTTACTTTCTCAACATGACAAGCATTTTAGGACATTTCAAAATTAAAAAAAAAATGACAATTTTAATGGGACGGAGGGGAGGGAGTATCAAATATTCCCAACATCTTAACCCTTTAAAATACTAGACTAGAAACCACGGGTTGTCCGATATTTGTTGGGAAAAAATTAATTAGAGTTGAGTTTGACTTCCTAAAAATGAAAAAAAAAAGGACTGGACTTGACTCAATTTCTTAACTTGCTTAGTTTACTATCCAAATCTAGCCCATTGGGCTCAAAGTCAGGTAGCCTCCTTTCCAAATTAGCACTTCGGCTAAAAGAGCCATGTGATGTGTGTATCTAGCCTGAATGCTCGCTTAATGGGCCAAGGGAATCATCTTTAATAAGGATAGTTGATCTAACAAAGAAATACTACAAGACATCGTCCATTAAGGGCCCGGAGACAAAAGGCCTGCATAAAATTTTGACCAGTGAAAAGATATACTCCTGCTAATTTTACCTTTCGTTTGGATTGAAGGATTTGAAATCCTTTCTGATTCCTCCGATTACTTAAATGACTTAAGATGGATTTGAATTTGTAAACCATCAATTATTGTAATATTTAAAATATATTTTGATAATCGGTAAATTACAGATTCAAATGCCTCTTAAGTAATGTAAACAATTAGAGCGTTTTGAAAAGAACAAAGAAAAAAGCCCGAATAAGTCCTGAGGGCTTTTGTGATCTCTCTTCTGATCCAGTACAGCTCAGTCAAATTAGGCCTGTGTTTAGCAACGGATATGTGTAAACCCCTTCAAACTAGTTCATGTCCCAACCCTACAGAGTTTCAGAGGATTGAATTTTGCAGAGCTAGTCAATCTTCCAGAGCCAATTTTCTCTTACTCATAAACTTTGGCTTGGGGGTTGTTTTTTTTTTTTTTGTGTTTTTTTGGGGGTGTAGGGTGTGGTGGGGAAGGGAGCAAGAATTCCCAAAATTATCTATTCTAAACAACAATCACTGAACATCATATGAATTTGTCAAAGAAGTTAGATAAGGCTGAATGGTCATGTCACTACCTAATCACTTGCTCCTACCATAACTTCCAGCAAGAGACATATGTCCAGTTCTAAATACTAATGTAGTTAAAAAGAACTACTGTAACCAGATGAACAAAGAAATTAAGTGCAATGAAGAATTTACATGGCATATCTGCCTTCTTTTTTCCATTCTCTGTAGCACAAAGCATAAAACATCAGCAGAAATCCCCCCCCCCCCCCAAACCCCCATCCCACAAAAAAAAGGGAAAAAGTGTTGCTTTTCTGCAAAATTTCACCCAACAAGCAACAGAAATCCACAAATATTTAATTCTGCAGAATCCGGCCTAATAGTCTAAGACCACCATCTGGATTTCGTCAAGGAAACATGCACAAAAATTATTGTTTAGAGTCAGATCTAATAGTCACCAGCAGTAGCATTTTCTTTGCCTCTCCTAACAAATGCAAAATATCCAAGAACAGCACAAAGTGCGGCCACAATATTCCCTTCTTTGAGCAAAACCTTCACCACAAATCCAGTAATATCAGCAGTCAATTTCTTGCCTTCCATCACCAAAGTCCTTCTGGGCTTCCCACAAAAAGTCAGCAAAACCAGCACAGTAATCCAAGTAACCAAAGTAGCAGGAACAGCCACAACCAAGGCTGTCACCATGGAGAGCACTCCAAAAGCCACACCTAAAAGAACTGATGCATACAAAGCTGGCCAACCTGAATAAACTGATGATGATGCTGAACTTGATGAAGAGTTCATCAAAGTTGTTTCATACCAAGCAAGAACTGATTTCAGGAAATTCCAAGAAAGCGATAACAAAACCGTGTAAACACCAAAAAACAGGCATACCCATGTTCTTCTTTTGCTCATAATCCTTAGGAGAACCATGGAGGTGTTCGATGGAGTTGGTAACTCTTGTTGGGCTTGATTTTGCGAGGGAGGTGAAGTTGAAGGTGGGAAAGTTGTGGGTTCTTCTTCCATAATCTGTTCTGCCATGGTTGATTGGATGCTGTGGATGGCTAAAACTTAAAGACTGAGGCCTTCAAAGGTTCAATTTTGATGGCTAATGATTTTTTCTTTTGTTTACTATTGTTTTGTTTTGGGTAGTTTCAGTTGTGTTTCTGCCCTCTTTCCTCTTTGCAGGAAGGAACAGTACCTTTAGAGAAAAGGGGCTGGTTTTCTTGATGACAGCAAGCAGATTGTACTATAGATAGGTAAAGGTTGAGGGGGTGATTTCACAGGCCCTTTGGCGCGTGGTAATGTTATGTACCACTAAAAAGAGATTCGCGGAGGAGCACGCTGTTTTGACTATAGTAGTGTGCTATGGTAAACTTTGGACATGGGGCTACGTTTCCAAAAAAAGGGAACGGGGCTCAATTTATTTACTATTTATTTGGATTTTAAAAAAGGTTATAATCACATAAGTTCATTATAATCTCGGTTTGATGACTCTTCGAGTGTTAATCTAACCAGCCACGGATTTAAGGGGGGGGCTGGTGGGGGCTTAAGCCCCCCCCAAGCCGCCGGAAAACCCCCTAAGTTTCTGACTGTTCTGCAATACTCCAGTGAAATTATGCAGGCGCTGTTTTTTTTTTTTTTTGACTATTGTTTTCTTACTGTTCACTAATTAGTAGTTTCCGCACTAGAATGTTAGAGGACGTGGACATGTTTTTAACTAAATATTCTGGGTTCATGTGTAAAGCTCAAAACTAGACGAAACCTTTCTTTCACTTCTTTTTGATGTTCTTATGCTGCTGCACTCGTGTCTTTGTTTTTATTTCCTTTTCATTGATTTTCCCACTCGTGAATTCTCATCCCAAACTGTCCTAAGCCCTAGCGACTAGGAAGATGCGTTCTTAGAGCGAAACGCTCGATTACGTAATTTGTAAATGAATGTTCCAAGTGAGCTGAATTTCGCAACGTGGCCTTTAAAAAGGCTGGTTCGAGTAATTGTTTGTTGTCCCTAGCTGACATCGAACAATTGCTGGGATACATACAATAGAGGATCAAGAAACCGTTGATTTTTGCTGGAAAGTCTTATACAAAAAAAAAAAAGAGTAAGTCAAACAACCTGAAACAATTCGATCTCCTACCTCAATTTTCTGGAAATCAGACGCATTATAAGCTTCACGGTGGAGTGAAATGCTTGCACCATTTGCAAATGGATCGCAAAAGGAAGTCTGTGAGGCCGAGACTTGGAGCAAATGGATCATTAGCTTATGTCCGTGTTATTCGGAAGTAGTCACGGTTTTTAACACTTTTTTTTTAATGATCTAAACCCCCATCTCAACGATGAAGACTCGCAGAATGCAATTGCCTCCTCTTCGTTATTCGAGTGCAACAACTACCAATACTTCAAGTGTTAATCAATAACAAATTTTTGGGTATGTATAATTATATGTTTTTATTATTTTTATAATTATTGATTCTAAATTTTACTTGTTAAATATATTTATTTCGTCACAAAAAAAAAATTTTAATACACTTCAGTCCCCCCAAAAATAAATTTCTGGCTCCGTCCCTGAATCTAACTGTGTGCGTGTGATTTTTATCCTTTGCGAGAAAAAAATCTCAGTTTGATTGATTATGTTTCGTTATATATTTTTCCCTAACATATTTGGATAGCAATTTTTCAAACACATTTTTCAATTATTTTTTTACCTTACAAATATCAAATCGTTACAATAATTTTTCTACAAAAAATTTAAAAAAATGCAATCCAAACAAGGCCTTAGTTTCCTATATACATAGTCTTTCTGCGTCTTCTTTTTTTTTTTTTTACATTAAATTTCCAAGATTGACAGAATCAAACTTGAGAATAAAATCTTTGACATTTGAATAAAATTAATATCATGCAATACTAGATTTAAAAGTATAGAAGTCTAATGGATCAAACGTGTCAAACTTGAAATAAGGAGCAAATTGAGAATATTACAAGAGAGAAAAGTGCAATCACCCCACGAGCTAAAGAAAGATTTTAGTAGTAATTCTTTGCTTCTTTGCTTTAAAGTTTGTGACTTGCCCTTTTCGGGCGGTCAAACTTACTGGCAAGAATGGAATCTAACATTCTAACCGCAAATACAAATATGATATGAGTTGTTGGCGACAGTTCAATATTCGAATGCAAGGGAAAAAGGCAAGCAATATATTAGAGGAAGAATTTGGGTGAACTGCTTGGAAACTAGTAAATGTCTTGATCGTTTGACCAAGTAGAACTGTCATTAGGGTCGGATAAATTCAAGCTTTTTTTTTTTTTAAGAAAGAAATTCAAGTTTTTTCAGAAATTCAAGTTCAACCCATTTGGCTGAGGAAAAAGTTTGAAAAGTAGTCTAGTCTTTCGTGGACTAAGTTGAATTTGGATTTAAATATTAAGTTCAAATTAAATGTAAGTTGAGTTTGGACCTATTAAACTCAAACCTAATATTAACCCGACCATTTAGTCTGCATATGTATATAAGAAATATTAAATATACAAAATTATATCAAAAGATTCAGAATGACAAATCGTACGAGTAAATTGAGAACATTTGAAAATGTATTGACTTTTGATAATATTTTTTATGTACTTTGAATTAATTGGAATACATTATTATTGAAAAATTCTTGGTTTATATACTTTTTAATGAATTGTTATTGGGTCATGTATAGTTTTTTTATTGTGGTTCTATAGATATTAAATTAGTTTTAGAAATTAATAGTTATAATAATTATATTAAGGAAATTAAGGAGTAATAGTGAGATAAACCCAAATTAGGTTCACGGGCCTTGGTTCAGGTAAGTGTTTATCCATGGGACCAAAAAGATCAAATGTATTTTTCTGGTCGGTGCTCCATTTGGCCGGTTTGATCAAATGGTGATAGAAAAACATTAAACAATTGATGTCTTCAATCAATCTAGGTTTTTTTTTACCTTAAAACTTTCATGTCTAACATTATGATCTATTCTTAATTTATCCAATCTCGAATAAGTTTGGATTGGCTCTTGTATTGATTTTCATCTTTTTGTTTTTTTGTAAGTAGGAAGTTTCGAATCCGTCTCATTTACACTTTTTCCCCCCTCCTCGATGTGACCTAATCCAACTTACAATTTCTCTTCTTTCTTATTACCCAACCCAACCCTCCATGTGATTTTTATCTAGCTTGTTTGTTAGTATGACTGTAATCAAATGTTTTTACAAGAACCCATAATGTCACTTAAATTGTTATACTAGAAGAGCAATGTTAGAGACTCTTCTTTATTTGTTGATGACACTTTTTTTTTGACTTTTGTACTCATGCAAAAGGAAAAAAAAAAACAATAATGATGGGTGATTGTAAATTCAATTAAAGGTAGAATATTTTTTGTATAATTAACATGATAAAATTTAAAAGGCCAAAGAAAGTGCCATTAAAATTGACCAAACTTAGAATTGCCTACATGCCTAGTGACCTTATAGAACCGATCACTTGTATGGCAAAGTAGGAAATGTGCAATTGCTAAATTATTCTGGAAAGAGGAAACTTTCCGGACGGCCTCTAAATTATTGCCTTTATACGGTTTTAACCCTCAATTTTAAATTATCACAAAAAAATCCCTGAACAAAAAAATTTAGTTTAAGAACTTTCGTCAATTTTTGTCTTTAAAAGTGACTGAATTAGGGACAAAACCAACAAGCAAAAAAAATCAACCCATGAAAACAGTCCAAAAGACCTCATTGACTGATTTTTTTTCATCAAATTAGGGTTAGAGAAGATGGAAGATGAAAAAAAAAGAAAGAAAATTAAACGCGGTGTTATTAGTTGACTTAACATAATTGGTTTTTAATTAAATAATATGTTGGTTTTTCTGTTTGGTTGGTTTTGCCCCTAATTCCATTACATTTGACATCCAAAATTGACGAAAATCCTTAAATTAAGTTTTTCTTTTGTTCGGGGGCTTAGTTGCGACAATTTATAGTTGAGAGACCAAACCACGCAAATTGAATAGTTTAGGATCCTGTTGGAAAGTTTCCTCTTTTGAAACTATATAGAAGTGTTACTTCACTGAAAGGGTCCTATCAATAAATTCATGTCATTGAAAATTCATTTCTTCTTTTCTCAGGATCGACAGTTGGAGACTTGAAATTTTTTTCTTCAGCAAAGTTCTGTCAAGAGTATATTGTTGCCGTCCTGCTTAGGTTAGGAATGCGAAGAAACCACATGTATGATCCATCTAACACGCAAGTTCAGGACTGGAATGGTCATGGAATCTGGTGTGAGCTTTACTCTTTTCTAGGAAATGTATTCTCTTTTTCCTTGGTGCTGGGACTTAGGATTGCTACTCTTGTCCTTCTGAAAAAAAGAGGGATTGCTACTCTTAGTGGTCCACGCTGAGCGGCATTAATGCTGTCCTTCAAAGAACTGGTAAATGATTGATTGGTGATGGACAAAATATTGTGAAAGTCAGTAAAATTACTGAAACAGGGCACAAATGTATTCAAAGAAGTGGTAAATGCTTCTCTTAAAAGAAGAAAACAACTTCAAATTTAGCCAAACGTTCAACAGCTTTTGATCTTCCTCTACATGTATAGGTTCCATGATCTCTTTGGTCAAATGCATATCATGTGCAGAACCAGTAATGAAATCCATGGATAAAGCTGAAAAGGTGCCTTTTCTTTTCTTTTCTTTTCTTTTCTTTTCTTTTCTATGGAAGAAATCAGGGCTTGATGTACTGTTGTAGTTGATCCACTTTTTAAAGAGTAAGTAGAGCCCAATAAATATCAACAATTAGAATTAATGATCTTTACTAGTAATCCTGCGACTCTACCGCTTCATATAATTGATAACCCTTTTTGCAGTCTCATCTTACATAGAACGAAGATGGGGAGGTGCCTTAGTGACTCCTGAGGCAAGAGCTGGTTCCAACCATCAATCATGACCCACAATTGGATCTGCACCCCTTTACCAATTTACCAAATCACACAAGAAAACTTGGTTGTTTTGTCCACCCGAAATCAAGACTCTGCAATCAGCGGAGACTTTTGGGCTCTACAACAAATCAGTGGCCCCAATATTTTTGACTTCTAAGTTCATTTCAGGCAAAACAAGACTGCCAAATAATGTGCTAATAATAATGCTCGCTGAAACTTCATCTGTAGATTCTAGAATGAATTGTCATTGTTATGAAGAGCAAAGAACTCAAAAGCGAAAACAGAAATGAACACAACATCAGGCTACTTCTGACACACATAGATACCACAACGAAGAGGAAGTTATTAATGCACAATGTTTAGCATATCATCATCCCCCCAATCTGCCTCAAGAACTGACCTCAATTCACACCTGTGGT